GTAAAGTCTCTGTCTTAGTCCTGCTGGATCTCAGGCTGTGTTTGACACAGTTGAACACAAGATATTACTGGACAGATGGAAAACTGTAGGACTCTCTGGCACAGCCATTAACTGAACTGCTATCAGCAGGAGTTCCCCAAGGGTCCATTCTGGGTCCACTTCATTCACCATCATTTTGAGCTCTCACTAACAGTAATGTTAGCGGCTATTATGGTTGCATGAGCTAAAGTTAGCGGACTTAGCCCCGGGGTGTCAGGAGTCAAAACCATCAATAAAACCTGGACCTACTGTTCACTGGGAGCTCCCAGTCCGACACAGTCAGCTAATGGATCCAGAATATTCTGAAGACAATCTGCTTACAGTCGACAGCCGTCAGTGCTGTTTTGCTCTCTTTGTAGTTACAGACAGAGCGCACACTCCTGACCCTGTTATCACAAAGCTCTCAGTATCTGTAGCAATGTGGTGACTGATGTCCTCTGAAACAGCAGTAAACTGTTCACTCAGTTTACAGTCAGTGAGTGGGACAACACATTCAGTTATTATCAGTACTTTACTGGTTATATTCCTAATATTACCTTTGACACTAGTGAGGATAAAAATGAACTAAACTTTAATTATACAAAACCTTTTATACATTACATATACTTTGATTTACAAACAAAAATTTAACAAAACTGAAACTACAATAAATCAAATTATACAAGGCTAAAAATGAATAAATTATCAACAATTAAATGTAAAACATCCAAATATAAATGAAATACCAGGGAGACAACGTAAAATCCACCGATGAACCATTGCTCTGGGATAATAATATAAACAGGCTTACTCACGTCTTACCTACCAAAGGAGACCATAAACATGCAGACAGTGGTTCAGTTGCTGTTCTTGATGCTTTTTTAAAATTATTTTAGCCATTATTTCCAGGAGATCTGGTGTTTGCTTTCAACTCTTTCAGTTATTTAAACAGAATTTTCAGCAATGAGCACAACATAAAATGTGTCTTCAAGTCAGTGAAACATGGCTGTGAATTGTGGGATATTAAGTATATCATTGCCTCTCAGACAGTGCTCTGAGGCAATTTCCCATCTTAAAAAACAAACTCAGAACATATTGGTTGGTTTCTCGCGGTGTTTCAATATTCTGGTTACAGCGACAGCCCTGTTGAAACATCCTCATCACGTTAACACATTGTTTTCTTTGTGTTTCAGTGAGTCTGTAGTGTGTGTGTGTGTGTGTGTGTGTGTGAGGATGAGCGGTGGTAAAAAAAGGAGTGGCTTCCAGATCACCAGTGTGACCTCAGACTTCAATCAAACTCCAGCCGCCCAATCAGCTTCCAGCGTGGTCCTGAATGTCCTCCAATCAGCAGTCTCCTCCTCCACCCCACAGGGAAGCTCCTCCCAGCCGACCACACCCTCTCTGAAGAGGAAGTACATCTCCCATGATGCTTCGGGGCAGGGTGGCTGTTCCTCCAGGTTCAGGGTGGTGCGGTTGGTAGTGGGAGGGGTTGGTGGCGGTGGACGGGGCGAGCCATATCGGCGTGGTCGATGGACGTGCATGGACTTTATGGAGCGGCAGGAAGGGGCGGGGTTCAGGCGGGTAATGGACACAATGAGACACGCCCATTCGCTGGAATCCCTGGAGATGATCGGCTGTGACATAGACAGAGGCGGAGTCCATTCCCAGGACACCGCCCACCTGTTGGCTCACCCACTTAGGGGCAGAGAGGGGGCGGGTCTTGTACTGCGCAGTGGGCCGCCCTCTCCAACACACCAAGAGCCAATCAACATCCGGCTCCTGGACTGCAAGGAGCCAACGGGAGTACAGGGATTTGACTCCAAACCTCCACCTCCTTCGCCCCGCCTACGAAATATCCCTCCTCCTCTACGATTAGACGTCGATGCCGCAGGACGGGTACTGACACGTAACTACTGGAATAACTGAGCCGAACACAACCTGTTCATACCCACTCACCTGTCTATCTCTCTGTCAGTCTGTCCTCAGGCTGTCTCACTCTCAGCCCAGCTCCCCCCCCGCTGGATCGTACCATCCCACTCTGACCCCCATCCAGACTCCTGCAGCCTTCAGTCTGGACCAAACCATCTTCAACCTGCCGGGGGAGGCCAGGTAGCTCTTTGTTTTTTGTTTTTTTTGTTTTGGTGTGGCTGCGTGGAGCTGCTTGTTGTTGTTGATGTTGTTATTGTTGTGGTTGTCATTGTTGATGCCAAGGACAGGATCGTCTGCATACAGTTGTAGACAGAAAACTCATTGATGGGAACCCTGAAAATAGTTACATTAACTACTACTGTATTACATTCTGCATCCTCCCATTAGTGGAGTATCTACTCTCATCTGATACCAAAAGGATCAGGATTTTCTCTCATGGAAAGTATCTATCTCTTCCCCAACATTAGTTTTTCTACAGACCCCCAACAAGCTCTGATTCTAACTCCAACCCTGCGTCCAGGTTTCAAATGACCAACCTACAGTTCAGATCCCCCAGACTACAGAGGTCCTGGTCTCAGAGGGGTCTCTACAAGTACACAGACTTAATGCTCCTAACAGCTAACAGCTGACCTACATACCACACACACACTCACACACACACACACACACTCTCAGCTGACACTGCAGTGTGTGTGTGTTGGATTAAGACAAACAGAGGACTCATTCATTCAGACTGTCAGCAGGACGTCTCAGTGTTTCTAATAACTGAACTGAGCGCTGCTCTCTGATTGGCTCCACACTAGTCATGATGTGATAAATCCTGCAGGTGAGTTTTGAAGTGAAACAGAAACGTTCCTCTTGAGATGAAAACAAACACTGACAGTTCAGAATGATTGGATCACAGTCCTTTATGTGTTCCTGCTGCTTCTGCAAAGTTCACTGGAGGATCACACATTTCAGTATTTACTCTGAACAGAAGATAACAGACAGTATGGAACAACGGACAGCAAAAAGTCTGGAACTTTATGAGGGAACTGAGACCTTAATGAGGGACAGGGGAACTGTAACTAACCCCCTACATTTGGCTAGCTCCCTCCTAGCAGAGATCATGGGGGGTGTTGCCTTCTGACTACACAGTTTGTTATGCAGGACACCAGCCAGAGTGACTGACTAACTAGCTAACAGAGCTAACAGAGCTAAGAAAGCTAAGAAAGAGAATGAGCTGTGTCCGCCCTGGCAACACAGAGAGTCTGCTGGAGGTTTTACAGTCAGCTAAGTTAGCTAAGCTAGCGGCTCAGAGAGGCAATCTCTCTGGTGTCTGTGACAAAGTGTTAGG